TGATAGGATCTAATGTACAGGACACTCATCGCACCTGTTCCCATATTAGATGATAGGATCTAATGTACAGGACAGTCATCTCACCTGTTCCCTATTAGATGATAGGATCTAATGTACAGGACACTCATACCACCTGTTGCACATTAAATGATAGGATCTAATGTACAGGACAGTCATCTCACCTGTTCCCTATTAGATGATAGGATCTAATGTATAGGACACTCATCCAACCTGTTCCCTATTAGATGATAGGATATAATGTACAGGACACTCACCCTACCTGTTGCGCATTAAATGATAGGATCTAATGTACAGGACACTCATACCACCTGTCCCCTATTAGATGATAGGATCTAATGTACAGGACACTCATCCCATCTGTCCCCTATTAGATGATAGGATCTAATGTACAGGACAGTCATCTCCCCTGTTCCCCAATAGATGATAGGATCTAATGTACAGGACACTCATCCCACCTGTTCCCTATTAAATGATAGGATCTAATGTACAGGACACTCATCCCACCTGTTCCCTATTAAATGGTAGGCTTTAATGTACAGGCAGGCCCCCCTCCCCCATACTGCCTCTTCCCTGTTATATTATTGGCTCTAATATAAAGGACCCTCATACCTACAGTCCCCTATGAGATGATAGGCTCTAATGTACAGGACCCCCTATATTTCCTCTTCCCTATTATACTATAGGCTCTAAAATATAGAATCCTCATACTCCTGTTCCATATTAGATGATAGACATTAATTTAATGGACCCCCCATACCGCCTGTTCCCTATTACATGATATGCTCTACCACACAGAACCCCCCATACCGCCTGTTGCCTATTACATGATATTCTCTACCATACAGAACCCCCCATACCGCCTGTTCCCTATTACATGATATTCTCTACCATACAGAACCCCCCCATACCGCCTGTTCCCTATTACATGATATTCTCTACCATACAGAACCCCCCCATACCGCCTGTTCCCTATTACATGATATTCTCTACCATACAGAACCCCCCCATACCGCCTGTTCCCTATTACATGATATGCTCTACCATACAGAACCCCCCATACCGCCTGTTGCCTATTACATGATATTCTCTACCATACAGAACCCCCCCATACCGCCTGTTCCCTATTACATGATATTCTCTACCATACAGAACCCCCCCATACCGCCTGTTCCCTATTACATGATATGCTCTACCATACAGAACCCCCCATACCGCCTGTTGCCTATTACATGATATTCTCTACCATACAGAACCCCCCATACCGCCTGTTCCCTATTACATGATATTCTCTACCATACAGAACCCCCCCATACCGCCTGTTCCCTATTACATGATATTCTCTACCATACAGAACCCCCCCATACCGCCTGTTCCCTATTACATGATATGCTCTACCATACAGAACCCCCCATACCGCCTGTTGCCTATTACATGATATTCTCTACCATACAGAACCCCCCATACCGCCTGTTCCCTATTACATGATATTCTCTACCATACAGAACTCCCCCATACCGCCTGTTCCCTATTACATGATATTCTCTACCATACAGAACCCCCATACCGCCTGTTGTCTATGTGTAGGTCTCTCATGCCTTCTGTTCACTATTAGATGATAGGCTCTCATGGACAGATCCCCAATCCAATAAAAGCTAGGCTCTAATGGACCGGATCCTAATACTGCCTGTACCCTATTTGATGATAGGTTCTAATATTCAGGATTCTCCTACCTCATATTCACCATCGGATGATAGGCTCTAATGTACAGGACCCTCATACCTCCTCCGTATACCCTAATAGATGAAAGACTCTAATGTGGGCTCTAATGTACAGGACCCTCATACCTCCTCCGTATACCCTAATAGATGAAAGACTCTAATGTGGGCTCTAATGTACAGGACCCTCATACCTCCTCCGTATACCCTATTAGATGAAAGACTCTAATGTGGGCTCTAATGTACAGGACCCTCATACCTCCTCCTTATACCCTATTAGATGAATGACTCTAATGTGGGCTCTAATGTACAGAACCCTCATACCTCCTCCTTATACCCTATTAGAGGAAAGACTCTAATGTGGGCTCTAATGTACAGGACCCTGATACCTCCTCCTTATACCCAATTAGATGAAAGACTCTAAAGTAGGCTCTAATGTACAGGACCCTCATACCTCCTCCTTATACTCTATTAGATGAAAGGCTCTAATGTAGGCTCTAATGTACAGGACCCTCATACCTCCTCCTTATACCCTATTAGATGAAAGGCTCTAATGTGGGCTCTAATGTACAGGACCCTCATACCTCCTCCGTATACCCTAATAGATGAAAGACTCTAATGTGGGCTCTAATGTACAGGACCCTCATACCTCCTCCGTATACCCTAATAGATGAAAGACTCTAATGTGGGCTCTAATGTACAGGACCCTCATACCTCCTCCGTATACCCTAATAGATGAAAGACTCTAATGTGGGCTCTAATGTACAGGACCCTCATACCTCCTCCTTATACCCTATTAGATGAATGACTCTAATGTGGGCTCTAATGTACAGAACCCTCATACCTCCTCCTTATACCCTATTAGAGGAAAGACTCTAATGTGGGCTCTAATGTACAGGACCCTGATACCTCCTCCTTATACCCAATTAGATGAAAGACTCTAAAGTAGGCTCTAATGTACAGGACCCTCATACCTCCTCCGTATACCCTATTAGATGAAAGGCTCTAATGTGGGCTCTAATGTACAGGACCCTCATACCTCCTCCTTATACCCTATTAGAGGAAAGACTCTAATGTGGGCTCTAATGTATAGGACCCTCATACCTCCTCTTCTCTATTAGATAATTGGCTCTAATATACACAATCCTCATGCCTCATGACAGTTCAAAACATTACTGTTACAGTGAGCTTCACTATAACAGCAATCAAAGTGTAAAAGAGACAAAAAATCCCTGATTACCCCTCAGAGTAGTATAGTGTTACGATGGTGATACTGAACTACCCTGTGAAGTAAGTGAAAAAAAAAAAAAAAAGAACAAAACTTAAGAAAAAAGAAAAAAATTTGAAATAATTGAATAAAGTATTATTTGTTTATTTATTATATACTGTCACCAGTAAGTATCCTTGATACTGAACTACGTTTAAAAAAGTTGAAAATAATTTAATAAAATATTATTTATTTATTTGTTTGTTTATTTATTTATTATATACTATCACCAGTCAGTATCCTTGATACTGAACTACCCTGTGAAGTAAGTAAAAAAAAAAAAAAAATTAACAAAAATTAAAAAAGAAATAAAAAAAACAGGAAAGTTTAAAAAAGTTGAAAAAAAAATGAATAAAATAGTTTTTATTTATTAATTACATATTGTCACCAGTCAGTATCCTTGATACTGAACTACCCTGTGAAGTAAGTAAAAATAACAAAAAATTAAAAAAAATTAAAAAAGAAAGTAACGTTTAAAAAAGTTGAAAATAATTTAATAAAATATTATTTATTTGTTTGTTTATTTATTTATTATATACTATCACCAGTCAGTATCATTGATACTGAATTACCCTGTGAAGTACTGTATATACTCGAGTATAAGCCGAATTTTTCAGCACATTTTTTGTGCTGAAAAACGGCCCCCTCGGCTTATACTCGAGTCATTGTCTGCAGGGGGCTGCCGTCTCTTACCTGGCTCCGGTCCCACGACGATCCGGTCCAGGAAGCGCGGCTGCTCCTTCATTCGGTTCGTCCACTGGATGTTCGCGCGGCTGCTCGGCTCCGCCTTCTCACCGGTGATTGGCCGCCAGAACTGTAGCTCAGGAAAGGCACACAGGTGGCCAATCACCGGCGGGGAGGCGGAGCTGAGCGGCCCCGCGAAAATCGAGTGAAGGAGATGCAGGTAAGTGTGCCTTGCTTAGGTGCTGCTGCAACCACATATGCTGGCTGCAGCAGCACCATACTGGAACAGGGGTCAGCAAGTGTCAGTGGGAGGAATAGTGCCCCATCATTGGTGTCACTGATACCAATGATGGGGCATTATTCCTCCCACTGACACCAACGATGGGGCACTTTTCCTCCCCCCCACTGACACCAACGATTGCGTACTATTCCCCCCCCCCACTGACACCAATGATGGGGCACTATTCCACCCCCCACTGACACCAATCATGGAGCACTATTCCACCCCCCACTGACACCAATCATGGGATACTATTCCTCCCCCCCACTGACACCAACGATGGGGCACTTTTCCTCCCCCCCACTGACACCAACGATGGGGCACTATTCCTCCAGCCCCCCACTGACACCAATGATGGGATACTATTCCTCCCACTGACACCAATGTTGGGACACTATTCCTCCCACTGACACCAATGATGGGACACTATTCCTCCCACTGACACCAATGATGGGACACTATTCCTCCCACTGACACCAAAGATGGGGCACTATTCCACTGACACCAATAATGGGGTGCTATTCCCCCCACTGATACTAATGATGGGGCACTATTCCTGCCACTGATACCAATGATGGGGCACTATTCCTCCCACTGACACCAATGATGGGGTGCTATTCCTCCCACTGACACCAATGATGGGGCACTATTCCTCCCACTGATACCAATGATGGGGCACTATTCCTCCCACTGACACCAATGATGGGACACTATTCCTCCCACTGATACCAATGATGGGGCACTATTCCTCCCACTGATACCAATGATGGGGCACTATTCCTCCCACTGACACCAATGATGGGGCACTTTTCCTCCACTGATACCAATGATGGGGCACTATTCCTCCCACTGATACCAATGATGGGCACTATTCCTCCCACTCCAATGATGGGGCACTATTCCCCACTGATACCAATGATGGGACACTATTCCTCCCACTGATACCAATGATGGGGCACTATTCCTCCCACTGATACCAATGATGGGGCACTATTCCTCCCACTGATACCAATGATGGGGCACTATTCCCCCACCTCCCACTGATACCAATGATGGGGCACTATTCCTCCCACTGATACCAATGATGGGGCGCTATTCCTCCCACTGATACCAATGATGGGGCACTATTCCTCCCACTGATACCAATGATGGGGCACTATTCCTCCCACTGATACCAATGATGGGGCACTATTCCTCCCACTGACACCAATGATGGGGCACTATTCCTCCCACTGACACCAATGATGAGGCACGATTCTTCCCACTGGTGTTCCCACCCTCGGCTTATACTCGAGTCAATAGTTTTTCCCAGTTTTTTTGTGGTAAAATTAGGTACCTCGGCTTATATTCGGGTCGGCTTATACTCGAGTATATACGGTAAGTAAAAAAGAAAATTAGCAAAAATTTTAAAAAAATTAAAAGAAGAAAGGAAAGTGGAAAAAAAATGAATAAAATAGTGTTTATTTATTACATACTGTCACCAATCAGTATCCTTCATACTGAACTACCCTGTGAAGTAAGTAAAAAGCAAAATTGACAAAAATGTAAAAAAAATTGTAAAAAGAAAGGAAAGTTTAAAAAAGTTGAAAAGATTGAATAAAGTATTATTTATTTGTTTTTAATTTTTTACATACTGTCACAAGTCGGTATCCTTGATCACTGCCATAGCAGTCATATGATGACGTAGCAAAAAAATATTGTGGAAAAAAAAAACAAATTTTGTTAAATTTTTTTTAATTTCTTCAAAATTGTGACAAAAAATTACAACTTCAAAAAACTTGCCATGCCTCTTACTAAATACCTCAGACTACTTTCCAAAAAAGGGGTATTTTGGGGAGGGGTGGTATTTGTACTGTCCTGGCATTTTAAGGGACGCAAGATAAAGAGACGGGCTGTCAGTGGTTCAAAATTGATCAATTTTCAAATCTACAGTGGGGCAATAAAACTATTTAGTCAGCCACCAATTGTGCAAGTTCTCCCACTTACAAAGATGAGAGAGGCCTGTAATTGGCATCATAGGTAGACCTCAACTATGAGAGACAAAATGAGAAAAAAAATCCAGACAATCACATTGGCCGATTTGGAAAGAATTTATTTGCAAATTATGGTGGAAAATAAGTATTTGGTCAATATGAAAAGTTCATCTCAATACTTTTTTATATATCCTTTGTTGGCAATGACAGAGGTCAAACGTTTCCTGTAAGTCTTCACAAGGTTGGTACACACTGTTGCTGGTATGTTGGCCCATTCCTCCATGCAGATCTCCTCTAGAGCAGTGATGTTTTGGGGCTGTCGCTGGGCAACACGGACTTTCAACTCCCTCCAAAGGTTTTCTATGGGGCTGAGATCTGGAGACTGGCTAGGCCACTCCAGGACCTTGAAATGCTTCTTACGAAGCCACTCCTTCGTTGCCCGGGTGGTATGTTTGGGATCATTGTCATGTTGGAAGACCCAGCCATGTTTCATCTTCAATGTCCTTGCTGATGGAAGGAGGTTTGTCCTCAAAATCTCACGATACATGGCCCCATTCATTCTGTCCTGTACATGGATCAGTCATCCTGGTCCCTTTGCAGAGAAACAGCCCCAAAGCATGATGTTGCCACCCCCATGCTTCACAGTAGGTATGGTGTTCTTTGGATGCAACTCTCTCCTCCAAACACGACGAGTTGTGTTTCTACCAAACAGTTCTATTTTGGTTTCATCTGACCATATGACATTCTCCCAATCCTCTTCTGGATCATCCAAATGCTCTCTAGCAAACTTCAGAAGGGCCCGGACATGTACTGGCTTAAGCAGGGGGCACGTCTGGCACTGCAGGATCTGAGTCCCTGGCGGCGTAGTGTGTTACTGTGGGTAGCCTTTGTTACATTGGTCCCAGCTCTCTGCAGGTCATTCACTAGGTCCCCCCGTGTGGTCCTGGGATTTTTGCTCACCGTTCTTGTGATCATTTTGACCCCATGGGGTGAGATCTTGTGTGGAGCCCCAGATAGAGGGAGATTATCAGTGGTCTTATATGTCTTCCATTTTCTAATTATTGCTCCCACAGTTGATTTGTTCACACCAAGCTGCTTGCCTATTGTAGATTCAGTCTTCCCAGCCTGGTGCAGGTCTACAATTTTGTTTCTGGTGTCCTTTGACAGCTCTTTGGTCTTCACCATAGTGGAGTTTGGAGTGTGACTGTTTGAGGTTGTGGACAGGTGTCTTTTATACTGATAACAAGTTCAAACAAGTGCCATTGATACAGGTAATGAGTGCAGGACAGAGGAGCCTCTTAAAGAAGAAGGTACAGGTCTGTGAGAGCCAGAAAACTTGCTTGTTTGTAGGTGACCAAATACTTATTTTCCACCATAATTTGCAAATAAATTCTTTCCAAATCAGCCAATGTGATTGTCTGGATTTTTTTCTCATTTTGTCTCTCATAGTTGAGGTCTACCTATGATGCCAATTACAGGCCTCTCTCATCTTTTTAAGTGGGAGAACTTGCACAATTGGTGGCTGACTAAATACTTTTTGCCCCACTGTACTTACCATAATTTGTGGACCCTATGATTTTCACACAAACCAATTATTATACACTTATTGGGATTTTTTTTTTTAGCAAAGACATGTTTCAGAATACATTTTGGCCTAAATAATAATAGTAAAAATATATTCATAGATCCAAAAGCTGAGATGGAATAATAATATCTCTATACCTCATTGGCTCCCTGATTAGGTCTCGCAGGGTTCTGATCACATTAGTAAATTCTTGGGACTGTGTGATCAGCAGACCTCTCCCCTCCCTCCACTCCCTCTGGTTCTGCACACAGAGATATCTCCATAAACCCTCCTCTGACCCCCTCCCTTCTGACACACATCTACTTAGTTTCGTTTCTCTCTCCTGCAGTCAGCGATGGCGTTTTCTGATGCGAGGAAGGAGCTGGATTGTTCCATCTGTCTGCACATTTATACCAATCCTGTGACCCTGAGATGTGGACACAGCTTCTGTCGGGACTGCATAGAAGGTGTTCTCGATACACAGGGGGGATCTGGAGTTTATTTCTGTCCTGAATGCAGAGAAGAATTCAAGGAGCGGCCTGATCTTAGCAGGAACACAACACTGCATAACATAGTGGAGAGTTTCCGATCTACCGAGCCAGAGAAGGAGGAGAAGAACCAAAACCAGATCTTCTGTACGTACTGCATTCACTCTCCTGTACCTGCTGTTAAATCTTGTCTGCTGTGTGAAGCTTCTCTGTGTGATGACCATCTGAGAGTCCACAGCAAGTCATCCCAACATGTCCTATCTGACTTCACCACTCCCCAGAAGAGCAAGAAATGCTCCATCCATGAAAAGATCCTGGAGTATTACTGCACCGAGGACTCAGCCTGTCTCTGTGGCTCCTGCAGGCTACATGGAGACCATCAGGAACACCAGGTGGAGGCACTGGAGGAGGCCACTGAGAAGAGGAAGGAGAACCTGACCTAACGCTTTGCAGAAGATGGTGAAAAAGAGAGAGGAAATGGAGGAAAGCATCAAGAATCTGAAGAAGTACAAAAGAAAAGTACAAAACAGTGCAGACGGTTTAACCAAGAGAGTCACCGCCCTATTCAGAGACCTCAGGAGACAACTGGACATGCTGGAGGGGAAAGTTCTCAAAGTGATAACCAAAAAGGCAGAGAAATTCTCATTCCCAGCCTGTGATTTAATCCAGGAGCTGGAGATGAAGAAGGACGAGCTGTCCAAGAAGATGCGTCACATCGAGGAGATATGTAGCATGATGGATCCACTGACTTTCTTACAGGAACTAGACACAGGTGACTTGTGTGATATTGAGGGTGGAGATGAGGAGGACAAAAAGAAACGTGATAACTCCTTCATGGTGGGGGGGATCCAATTGTGACTGGGGTCTCACGCCTATTATATACAGGTTTATCTGATATAGTCATAGGGGTAAATGGAGGGATCTGTATACCGGAACCTGCAGATATATTACTGGATGTAGACACAGCCCAAAATTATCTAAATATCTCAGATGATAGGAAGACCACACACAAGACAAAAAAAATGTTGAATCGCCCTGAAACACTTGAGAGATTTCAGGTCTGCCAAGTAGCAAGTGGTATTTATTTGGATCCTTATCGACGCATGCATGTTCAACAATACAGGGACGTGAAATCTCAGGTGTTGAGCAGTCAGAGTTTCTCCTCGGGGCGACATTACTGGGATGTGGATGTTGGGGGATCATCAGACTGGAGAGTCGGGGTGTGTTACCCCAGTATAGCCAGGGCAGGAGATGTGTCGGAAATTGGATGGAATGATAGGTCCTGGTGTCTGGAGAGGAATGCTAATACGTACTCAGTGAAACATAACAAGCAATCGACCGATCTAATGGTCAACATCCCAATACACAGGGTCAGGGTATGTCTGGATTATAAGGCGGGGAATCTCTCTTTTTACGAATTGGATATTCCAATCCGACATCTCCACACCTTCGATGACATCTTCACCGAGCCCCTCCATGCTGCGTTATCTGTAGGGGAAGGTTTTATAAAGATAGGTGTGGGGGGGGCGGTACATGTTATAAACCTGTCCAGAGACTGGTGACATTACAGGAAGGACTGATTCTCATTAGTGGGACATTCAGTAGTATAATGTAGTGGGTTTAGGTTCCATCTGATAAAAGGGGGGGATATTGTTGTTATGTCACAAGATTAATACGAGCATATGTGTCTTAAAATTTTGAATAATTCTCTATGATATAAGCAAATTTCTGTTCATTCAACACATCGATTTACTACTGAATTTAAAGATCTTATCAATGGGGCATATCTTGATGACAAAGACACGTATGAATTTTTGAATACCCAATTTCCTTCCTAGAGAAGCTACTTTCTATTCCTTGCTCAAGATCCATAAGAACATATCCACCCCACCGGGAAGGCCAATCGTTTTAGGTATTGGCTCTCAAACCTAAAATCCAAGTAAATTTGTTGGGTTTTTTTCTTATGCCACATGTTACACGACTTCCATACCTTAGATCTACTTAAACACATTGATGGTCTATCTGTGCCCCCCCCCGATGCCCTTCTCGTGACCATCGATGTGGAAGCCCTCTATTCTAGCATTCCACATGATCAGGGAGTGGCAGTGGTGAGCTCCTTGATGGAGCAAGATCGCACACAGTGGACGTTGTGTAACTTTGTTTTGGATTTGTTGCATTATATTCTGCCTCATAATTGGTTTTCTTTTATGGGCTCCCATTACCTCCAGGTACAGGGCATTGC